GGGTGGGTCCCACTCCTCCTAGAGGGTTAAAGTGTAAGTACTGAAAATGCTTCCAAAACACTTCTTCTTTTGAAAATCAAATTACGTATGTACGAGCGATTTTTTGAAAAACAAACGTGACATCAGATATTTGGCCTGTTTCGTTGTTAATGTATATAACTTTCTCTGGACGTCCATGTATCTTTTCGCAATTAGAGTTAGACCCAGGCAGGATGGCTTCTCCTCTTCCTATACCCCTTCTGAAACCGTATTTTGATATGGTGAAAAAGGCATCATATATTTGTTGTAGATTCTGTTGAATATTATTCGCATGAAGATCTTTCGCTGCGTGATTCATCAAACATATAGTTCTGTGGTCTTCACATTTCTTCGCTCTATTCTTTTTTGGCAAGGCCGTGTTTATGTTGGAGCTGTGGTAAACGATAAAAGCAACGATACTAATGATACTATACATTAGTATTGTTGCTTTTATCGTGTATCACAGCTCCAACATAAACACGACCTAAGGCTATGAAGGTAGATGTTACCCAACCTTCTAAGATTGTTCCGGTTGCATATAATTTATTGTAAAATTGAGTCAATATTCTAATGGCATTATCACTACCACTGGTGTGTTTGAAGTGCTATGCCGTTATTTGAACTTTGCCTGGTGCTTTATTGCTTTTTCGTTTCTCGGATTGCTTTCTTAATGACCTCATTCTTCAAAATGTGCAGATTTTCTCCTTAAAGTATTCATTTTTGGGTATTCCTGATTACTTCTGGCATCACCGAGCAATTCTTTCAAGTAGTTCTCCCATATAACTTGTTGTTTGTTCTGGTTCAGTTCTATTACATTATTGTCATTTGCAATTGCTAAAATATGCTTGAGTTTGCAGAGACCTGCGATTTCTTTGATTTTTCTAATCTAATTCTTTATATTTCTTTATGTTGCGCGTGTAGTTGTTCCAGTTTATCGCATTTTGTTTGGAGCCAGTTCTCTTCAACTCTTCTAATAATTTTTCTCTGGATTTCTCTGTCCAACTTTTTGTTGTTCTTCACATTTGTTCTTTACTTCGCGTCTTTTCACTTTCAGTTTTTGGTTTTCCTTTCCTATTATTTGATCCATCGCTTCGCCGAATATGTTTTTAAAATTTGCCCAGGTCTGTTCTATATTTTCTTTGGTAGTTTTATCATGTATTGCTGTATTTTCTTTTCTTAACTGTCGGTCTATTCTTGATGGTGGTTTTAATTTCAGAATATTTTTTAGCTCAATTCTCATGGTGGGGACTACGAAGTTATGGTCAGAGTTTATGTCTCGTGCTTCAAAACGTTCAGAAATATTGTTGTGTTAAAATAATCAAGTAAGGTTCGAGCATCGAAGGACCATAAAAGAATTCGAGGTTGATTGCACAAGGAGTCTTCAGAAAATGTACGTGCTTTATTAACTTTTTACAAAAATATTATTAATTATTTTATAGTCTTTTCTTTTGTTTCTTCGTTTCTACCCACCAATCGTCCATGGATATCTTCTTTATATTTTGTTTGAGGTAGTCCAGGTACCATCAGGTACCTACCTAATAGGTACTAATCACACCCTGTCATTTCAAGGTTGAGGTGCAACCACTAGGTATAGGTAAATCATGAGTTTGATTGAACAAATATTATTCCATGAGTACTATCTTGCCTTTTCTGAGCAAGATGCCCGATTACTTAAAGGGTACAAAAAAATCCGAGGAGATCGGATTGATTCCCAACAAACAATTCATCTTCAGAAGAAGTACCTCCACTGAATTACAAGTGCTCAGAATAATTATTAAGCACATCTCCGATAGGCGACAAGTTCAATTACAAATAAGCTAGAGTTGGACATAAAACGAGCCCATTCAACCGAAGATGGCTCAAATAGTTTAAATAGACGATCCAAAAACAGATATTTGCAAGCTGATCCAAAGCTGCCGAGTTATTCAACGCTTGGAGCAACAACATGTATTTTGCTGACAATAGCTTCTTTGGGAAGAGCCCTAATCCGAAATAGACATAGATGTCACAAATCGAGGACACTGGGTGAGAAAAATGCGTTCTGAAGAAATTACAGCTTCAGATCGAAGTTTTATTGCTTTGTGCTCAAATATTATATTATAAGGGATCGTCCCTAACATAATAACGAATATCGGTGAACATTAAAAAAAATTGAACGGCTGAAGATAGACGTTACTGCATTGCAGGAAATAAGATGACCTGGCTCGAGAAATATGAATATAGAAAACTCGGTTATCTTCTATAACGGTAACAACGAGAACGTACATCATTTCGGTGCCAGCTTTGCAATTAAGAAAAACCTGCTGGGCTCAGTCCTAAAATTTGAACCCCTGACGAACGATTATTATGCTACCTACCTAAGGGTTAAAGGAATATTCTATTCTACTACTCCTTACTATCTGTACATGCACCAACCGAAGACAAAGATGAAGCAGTGAAGAACGAGTTATACGACAACAAGATATGGAACTTATTTTGGGAGATTTCAATGCAAAGCTAGGAACAGAAGCGGCATTAAGGCCCCATGTGGTTACAAGAAGCCTACACCATATTTAACAATAATGATGGGCTAACATATGCGGAAATAGCAACATTCAACAACCTTCTTATTAAATCTACAATAGCTGAGTTCGGCTTTGCACTCCACGGAGCGGAACGATAAGAGCATGGATATCGTGGCGTCCTACGCGGTCATAAGCCGAACACAAAAGAGAACACTCTGAGAGCTAAAACAAACAGGATCTAATCGTTTCGGGCGGTTTTACCGAGTGTAAAGCCGAACTCGGCCAATGTATGAACACAATGATATCCATAAAGAATCATGGGCCTCCAATGATGGTAGAACCAAAAACTAAATTTATCACGTCGTAATTGATAGCAAAGGAATGTCCTGGGTATAACAAGCTTCGAGGGGCAGACGCGGAATGGGACCATTCTTTTGTCACAGCAGAGCTGGAATCAGAATATTAAGCTAAAAAAATGTAGGTACAATCCAAACAACAGTGGGATAAAGCAAAACTTGAAAACGTAGAAATCAGAAGGCGTTGCCAGACGGAAATAGAGCACAGAAGCACAGAGAAGAAATTACAAACACGGATGACATCCACACGAGTTGGAATATACGTACCTTCTATCCGAAGCAATCATATGGGGCAGGAGGAGTGACTGTGGTAGTAAACCTGAGAAATTAAAATAAAAACCACTGGTACGATCTGGAATGTGGGAGGGTACTTAAAGAGAGAAGTACTGCAAAGCTAATAATGATCACAGGATCCTACCGAAAACAATAACAGTAAATTCAGACAACTAAGAAGAAAGGCTAATAAACTACTAAGAAGGAAAAAAAGAGAACAGCAAGATCAGGAGTTGCAGGAGCTAAAAGTCAATGAAAAAAACAATAACAGGAAATTCTGTAAGACAGTACCTAAGATCAAGGCTTTAGGCCCAGAACCAACAACATCATCAGACGATAACAGAGACCTAAACAGTAACCAGAAAAACATACCGGAAACACAGCCACATGCCAACTACACGACCTCATAGGAACTCTCTGGAAAAACGAGAGATCGCAGAAGATTGAGAAGATAGCATAATAAACCCCCCACACAAAAAAAGACACAGAATGATATGCAAAAATTATAGAGGAATATCGCTCATAAAAGTAGCATTCAAAGTTCTACCTATACAATTCTGTCAGGAATAACCCCATTCGCAGAGGAGATAATCAGTGCGGCTTTCGGACAAACTGATCAACAACAGACCAACTGCTTACAATTAGACAGGCTACCAGAAAAAAGCTGGGAATTCAATGGACGAATACAGCCAACTGTTTATAGATTTCAAACAGGCCTATGATAGTGTGAAAAAAAGTCAATGTCTGAGAGAAAATGGCAGAATCCGGAATATCTCATAAGAATATAGATTGACAAGAGTTTGTGTAGACGGTTCCAGATGCAGAGTGAAAGTTGAGCGGGATACGTCGAACGTATTCAGGGTGAATACGAAATTGAAGCAGGGTGACGCGCTGTCCCCGACTCTTTTCAATATTTCCTTGGAGAAAGTCGTAAGGAACTCCAAACTCGAAACAGCAGAGCTCTTCCAAACGAATGGTTCGCAACTAATACTTGCTTATGCGGACGATATTTACTTGGTGGAAACTAGCGTGATAAATAGCAAAGAAAAATTTGTTGAAGTAAATCACGTGGTATGTAACGAAGGCGAGACTAAATACATGCATATCTCTAGGACAAACAGAGGAAGAGTGGGACACAATGTGACAATGAATGGGTATAACTTTTAAAACGTCAAGCAGTTCAAGTACCTGGGTTCGATCATCACTTTCGACAATGACATCGGCGGACGGCGAGGAAATAAAGTACCGATTGGAAACCGCAAACAGCTGCTTCTATGTCTTTAAGAACATATTTGGATCCAAAGAAGTTACTAGAAGATCCAAAATCAAAGTATACAGGTCATCCGTAGATTCGGAAGGTGAATACTTAGGAAAATATATGGCCCGACAAAAGATCCACATACTCAGCAATACGAATAATAGAACGAATGCGGAACTGCGAAACTACGATAAACCAGAACTGCGGAACTACTATGAATCAGATCTAAGCAACATAATAAGATCTCAACGGTACGACACGTGCGTAGGCAATCCGAAGAAAGGCTAATACGACTGGTATGGCAGAAAGCTCTAGAGGGGAAATGGCCACTTAGAAGACCCAGACTGAGATGGCGGGTCAACATTTTTACGGATCTGAGAAAAATGGGCATCGCAAATGGTTCGCAGCTTATGACCGCAAAGCCCAACAGGGCTGTAGCTGTACGGAATAAGTGAGAATTCCCTAACATGGTTTTTCTAGTCGTTGATTCTCTATAATTTTTTTACACTTCTGAGATACCTACATTTTGCTGGCTTCCATATGAGTTCTGCCTTCTGTCAAAACTAGTTTTCGAAATAAAAATATACTCACCAAGTCGATACCCGTCCTTTTCGAAAGCATTATTTACGTGGTTGTGCAAAATGCTTTTTTTCCGTACCGGTCCGATGTCGGCGTGGTCCGATGATGAAACTTTTCGGCTACGCGCAGGTGATTCGAATGCGTGGTTGTCGTGTCCCCGTTCGTGGAAATGGTGATCTATAATGCTGACCTAAAAATATATCGTATTGTGAGAATTCATCAGCAACTATTATTTTACTTTTACTGAAAAGTGTAAAGGACCAAATTCATAACTGTTCGGGGACTTTAGAGTTCACCTATTACTTCCTTCTTGTCACAAAAATATTCGAGGAAATGGTAGTTTTATGTTTTTTCTGTTGATTTGCCTTCATCCACTAAGAAACGAGTTTAAATCAATTAAGAGTTATTCAATGAGAAGGAAGAAGCTGGGAAATGCAGCACACCAAAAGGGGTCAGCTGGGTAATGTGACACATAAGAGGGGACCTCTTCTTGAGGGGATACCACAAAATTTAATAAAATGAAACTCAAAGCAGAGAATATTTTGTCAAAACTATAAAATTGGTAAAATAGATTCTCAGAAAATGATAAACTAGGAGCGTGTTTACTTTCCCAGCACCAAGAACATTCTCGAAGAAAAATTCTTGAAGCGTAACACCAACAAAGTGAGGTTTTTCTAAAATAATTTTCTACAAAAAAGCCTATTATTGCATCATTTTTAATTAAACCAAATCTAGTCCAATTATTATTGCTCGTTTGTGAGAAATTAATCCCATTGTTAAGTTTGTGCTTTTGTTACTGTTACACTCACTTGATTAATGTTAAAAATCGTATAAAATCACAATATAGATTTAAATATCTGATAAAATAATATTGGGTGGCTCAAGTTCTAGGTTATTGATGACTATTTTTTCGATTCCTCAAAAGCCCGGAAATTATTTTTGAAACGCCCTGTCAACTGCAATATGCAATATTTTACTATAACTATTTACAAGTAATTGCGAATGACATTGTTTTGGTTCACGTGGAAAAATCTGCTATTGTTTGTGTAATTGACTTCAATTTTTCTAGGATCTTATCGATTGATGAGTCGTATATTATTGACATTAGAGTTTTGAAAACGTGAAGGAGATGTATTGAGATAATTTCGTTATAATAGCAAAGCAATCAGATTTAATAAGGATTTTTTAAATTTTCTTCCAACACAACTGCCCTCTAGATTACTTTAAAGAAATTCAGCAGCTATAGTACCAGTAGCTAAGCACCGTTTCCTGAAAAATTGAAACAGTTTGATCATTTTTGACACTAGATAAAAAAAGACAACATGAAATTGTTTGTTAACTCGTTTCTAGAAAAAAACTTGTTCTGATGACTCCAAAAAAAAAATCATTTATTAATGCAGATTTCTTAAGGCAAATAAGGAATATCGAATTTGGAAGGTCAGTAAAAAACTCACTCATGAAAGTCAAATCTAAAAGCAAGTCGAGTCAGTCGAGAAAAAGAACATTAGATTCAATTTCAAAATAACGAATAATGAAGAACCAATGTTTATAATTCGACAGTGATCCATCAGATGACAGATTATTGATTGGTATTTTCTCCAAGAAAGAATTTGCAATATATGTTCACAGGTACGCAAATGGAAGTTTCTGAAGTTACAAAGTCAAATAAAGTGTTCGCCAAAATTTATACCACCATGAAGCAAAATGAAGCAAAACCCGAAAAATACAAAACTCGTATATCTATAAGGAAGCAATATGGTGTATTTATGTTTTATCTGAAAATTAAGTACCTAACCACTATAAAATTTGTTTGAAAGTGCCGGAAGAAACGATGAATTGTCCTCAATAGAAATTCTAGATAGTAGGTAACGGAATTACAGCCGACATGGTAAATTTGACAAGATTTGTTCAATAAATAATACTCACTTTATCTTTTTTAAAAAGTTATTCTTTCCTAGAATTGAAAGACAGATATTTCTTGTTCCCTAGGCTATTTTGATGAGGCTCATTTCAACTCAGAACAAAATTAGACACAAACTTTGAAAAATTACGAAACACAAAAAAAAAGATAATGAGATAAAATCAATGTTGACATGAAATATTCAACGTTTTAAGTGTAGGTATGTATGAGTTGTCTATGTTGAACTTTTTTTCATCTTTACCGAACAAACTACTTCAGTATAGGTTATATTTATCTAAGGAATAATAATTTGGCGTTTTCTTACCTTTCTTGTATTGTGATTATTTGTTTCTGCGTGAGATGTTGGTGAAGGATGCATCGACAAGTTGTTCAAATCCTGATCGCCTGACATTTTATCTTAAAATAGGAAATAGAAATTAATTTGCAGAAAGACATACATTCATTTTGGTAATTAAAAAACCAACCTTATAATCGGCATTAGCTAATTAAAAGGCACCTTATTATCAACCAACAGGATAAGACCATTATCTTATTTCGGCAAAAATGTATTTGAGACACAATCAATAAGAAACCACAAACAGTGAAGCGCAGAAAATGATCCTTTTAGTTTAGAATTATTCGACATTTACCAGTTAGATAATTGTCATACCTAGTTAAATTCAGTTAAATATGTCATGTCAAGTAGTGAGAGCTTTTGCTGTGTTATCCCATAGTGCGAAATCAATTGTTAGTTAAGTTCTTGTAAGGAAGCAATAACCTCAGATTTGCCACACAAAAACACTATCATATTGACATATTCTAAGGTTTTTGTTAACTAAGAAGGACTTAGCTAACGAGTAATCTAGTCGCAGAGTCGCACTAAGACAAGTGTTCTAGTTTGTTTAATAATAATTACCTATTCTATTTCACGAAATAACTCTAATAGGTTATGGACCCAGATTGCCCCAGATATGCAAGAAAGTCAGTGAGTAAATCGAAAGATAATATAAGTTCGCTATGAAGGCACTTTTTAAATTAAATGACCTGTGGAAGGACGTCGTCTGTACCGAAGTAGATCGAAAGAAAGATAAGAAAGCCCTTTCGGAAATAATCTTGTCTGTGGATAAGTTGTATTTTTCTTACTTGAAGAAAATAATATTTTGACACCAAATAAGCACTCTCTTGCTGGCAGGGTTGCCGGAAGATTACAGGCCAATGATTATGGGTCTAGAGAGTAGTGAAGCGAAGATTCAATAAAAGTGGAGTTGTTGCAAGATGTTGAATCAAGTTCTGATCCAAAGTCAGCAGGCTCGAATGTAGCAATGTACTCCGACTCCGAAAAAGGTCCAAGTAAAAAGTTTAGAAGAAACTAAGTTAAATGTTTTAGATGTGGCAGAATGGGTCACAATAAATCTCCGTGTAGAGCAGGCAGCGCACGAGGTAAACTTGGTCAGTAATGTCTAGTGGTTTGAACAAAATAAGAACATCAACTGAGCCATGTGTTTTCTGTGTCGAAGAGAAGCAAAGTCGAAAGCAATTCTATTGCATCATGGCAAAGACAAGGCAATTTCTACAGCTGCTTCACAGCGATCTCTGTGGGCCAATGGAAGCAGCCACAATAAGCGGCTGTAAGTAAATTTTCACACTGATAGATGACATTCTAAAATAAAAATCCTAAGAAATGATAATGGTACTCAATAGGTAAATAAGAAATTCAAGAAGATATTCAATGACTCTGGTATTATACATCAGACAACTATTAAATACACACCGCAGGCAAAATGGGGATAGTGAAAGAGCAAATAGAACAATTTGTGAGAGAGCTCGTAGTATGTTATCCGATGCATGTTTGTCGAAAGATTATTGGGGCGAAACAGTTAACACTGCAGTCTACCTTATAAATAGATCTGTTGGTACAGTGCTTGGGAAAATACCCTATGAAATCTGGAATAAGCAGGAACCCAATTTATCGGAACTGAAAATTTTTGGTTGTGGAGCTGATATACCTGATCAGTTGAAAAAGAAATTGGATCCTAAATCACAGAAGTTATTGTTTATGGGTTATGAAGAAAGTACAAAATGGTATAGATTGATTGATCCAAATACTAAGAAAATTATTTTCAGTAGAGATGTATTCTATGAAGGAACTAAGATAGAGAAAAATACCAAAGAAAGACAGAAATAAAAAAAAGACAAAAAAAAATGGCCAGGAGAAAGTAAAGAAAATGAGGTACAAATTGATGAAAAACATTTCTGTACAAAGTGAAGATAGCAATGACTTTGAAGACTTACAGTAGGAATTGAGGAGGAGATAGCTGATGTAGAGCCTATTGTAACAAGATCTGGTAGAGACTGGTAGAGAGATATATAAACTTCAGTATCTTCACAATTATGGGTTATATTTCAATGTTACAAGATCACAGAAGGATCCTGAAACATTTTTAGAAGCTCAAAACAGTTCTGAATGGCGAGATACCATCAACAAAGAGATGAGTTCTCTTAGAAATCTCCAAACTTGGACTCTGTGTAAACTTTCTGATAATAAATCTGCAATTGATACTGGTATGGGTGATTCGAACCAAGGAATATTGTACAAAACTACAAAGAAGGCTCAATTAGTAGCCAAAGGCCTCCAGATTCAAAAGGAGAAAGATTTTACACCAATGTATGCACCAGTTGCCCGGTTGTCGACGATTAGAGCATTTCTAGTACAAAATAATCGTACCTTATGTACGTCAACTAGACCATTCCAAGCTCTTTCTTAAATGGAAAACTTGAATCTGAAGTAGGTATACAATATCCAAGATAGGGAGATCTGATGATATGCTGGCCCAAAGACGAAACGTCGGATTACAAATTTGATATTGCCATATTGTAGAGGAGAAAAAGTGGCAACGACGAAGTGCCATATTTATTTTGAAATATCTCTTCAAATAAGGTCAGAAGAATATAAAATCGTCTTGGGCGAATTTAGGGTTTTCCCAAGAGTTCAACCACTATGCTTACAAATTTATAATGATATCCATATTTGTCAATCACTGATCAATAAATCTCATGTATTCCCATTCTAAGATTTGTGACTGATTGCCAAACATTTTCAGATATTTTTGTATGATTACCAGGTGATTTCCATTTTTTTCTGGGGATTCTTATATCGTTCCCAATTGATTACCTGATTTCCTCGATGATTTCCAACGTAAAGTTAGGTCCTGAATAATCTCTTAGTTGTAGCGAATCGCAATTGCTAAACCCTGATGTGTGAAGAAATTCTGTGTCCTCTTTCGGCAAGTCGGATTCGGGGGAGGTTTCAAGATTCATGTTTTAATTTTTATGATCTACAACTTTGTTATACTTTAGGCCTGTTCTTACAGAAAACACAAACCAGTCAGAGCGAATTTCATTGGTTGAAAATAGTCAGAAAGCTGGTTGTTGGCGATTTGCACCATTCAAAAACGCTCTGATTGGTTTGTGATTTCTGTGAGAACAGACCTAGTCTTCATCTCGTTTCTTTTTCTTCAAGTTCTAAACTGTTCGTTGTCTCGGGTTCAGTTATTGGCTCAGTTATTGGGAAACTCGTTGGGTTATCAAATTCATTTCAAATTGTCTAGCACTCAATGTTACCTTAAACTTAGTCTTAAAGGCGAATACACAACTGACCGGTACGCTGGCTGTATCGTTTAAAATGTATGATATGCGACTTCTGGGTTAGAATGAGGTGATATTTTCAAGTACTTAAGTAAATACCACTCTGTACATCAATTTTACTAAAGTGTGTCGACGAGTCAGCATTTGGTATAAATACCGCGCCGAAATCCATTACCGGCAGACTAAGGCTAGTGCAAAGTACCTTAAATGGGAAAAGCCCCTCTAGCTAAGTCTCTTCCCAGTGCAAACTACCTTTAATGGGAAACGCCCTTTTGGACCTGTCTCAAACCTAGCTCCTTCTGGGAGTATTGAACACAGCAGACTAGGTCCAGTGCAAACTACCTTTATTGGGAAACGCCCTTTTGGAACTGTCTCAAACCCAGCTTCAGTCTTCAGTCACGCCAAACGTACAGAGGGTACATAATACAGAGTGGCCTATAAGTAGTACATCCCTTCGTAGAAGAGATGTCATGATACTATTTCTAGGGTAATATCATTATTATTCAATAGAATATCTCATTATACCTATACCAAGCGAGTTCCTCTCTACCTGAACCCAACCTACGCCCCCAGGTCACGCTCCTGTTGTGACGTCCCAGGATGAAACGTATAGGGGTTGTGACAATATTCCCAGCGATAACCACATGATTCTCAGCGATTGCCAATGGATTCCTATGTGATTCCCATTGAGTCCTAGGAGATTACTAGCGATTTCCAGGTTATTCCCAGGGACTCCTAAGTGATTTTCATGTATTCCTGATTTATTTATTACTATGTGATTCCCAAAAAAATGTACAATGATTTTCACTAGTGGTTTGCCCTTCGGGTTTTCCCAAAAATCTCCGGTATCACATAGAATTTTTAAAATCTCAGAGCGGTATTTTAATTTTTTAACTTTCTCCTAATTTGAGTAACGTCGTATCTTTCTTGTATCCGAGATCCCCATGCTGGCCCCCCTTATCTTCGACACATTGTATATAAAAATACGAGATGGTTCAGATGCAGACAAAAACAAAGTTTTGAAACTTAACAGAGCTTTGTATGAGCTGAAGGAGAATCCAAAGTGTTGAAATAACAGATTTAATGAAATAATGAAACAATAAACTTTAAAATATCTCAATATGATTTCTGTCTTCATACCAAACAATATATGTGGCTTATTATTTTTGTAGATTATTTAATTATCACAGGAGAAAAAGGTAAAATACAGGATGTGGTAGATAATTTGAAAAATAAAGTAAATGCTAAATATTTGCGTGAAATCAGTAGATTCATTGGAATGGAGATAACAAGAATTGCTGGAATCATAAGTATATCACTCAGAAAAAGTAGGTACCTATAGTAATTGAATCCTACAAAATTTTATGTCAGATTGTAAAGAAGTTTCTATACCTATGACAAGATGATTTCAAGTTGACAAATCAGATGAAATCATTGATGGATGTCCCATATAGAAAGTTAACTAGATATCTGATGTTACTTGGCATGCATTACCAGGCCAGATATTCTGTATGCAGTGCCCTATCTTAGTCGATTTTTGGACGAACCACCTCAAGTCTTGTGGATTACAGGCAAAAAAATCCTGGGGCATTCAAAAAACACTATTGATAGTGGACTGATGTATACGCGAGAGGTGAAGAGAAATTTGTAGCATATTCCGACGCAGACTGGGCTGGAAACAAAACTAACAGGAAGAGTACAAATAGCTCTGTAGTACTGTATGCTGGGAATCCAATCAGCTGGTTTTCTAAGAAATAAGTGTGTGTAGCCTC